TGGATGGATTGGAGGTGCAGAGTCTGAGGAGCTGGGATGGGGACAGCACCTAGGGAGTTGGGGGGGCACTGGGAGAGCTGGGGAGGAGGACCCCGGGGAGCTGGGATGTTGGAGACACAGAGCCGTGGGGCAGGGCACAACAGGGAGCTATTGTAATAGTTAATTATTATTATTAGTGTCAAGCTGTGGTGGGGGGGGGTGACCACCCCCTCCGGAGCTAAGATTTGGGGGATGTGGTCTGGGGCACCCCTGGGGAATTGGCAGGTGGGAACTGGACCCCGCCCAGGCAGCTGGGGGTGATCGTGGGGCTGGGCTGGGAGACCTGACTTAGGCTGAAGTTGGTTTTTGTTGCTTTGACTTCTGGGGGGGGGGGGGAGAGTTGGGGGATAATGCCCCTGCCCCTGCTTCACTCCCTCTATGCATTTCCCCTTCCAGGCTCTGAGTCTGAGCAGGGCATGGCCTGTGCCAAGAACTCTGCCCCCGCTTTGCCCCCTGGAAGCCTCCCCCACCATTGCCCCCCTCCCATCCACTCAGCCATGGTGAGGGCCATTCCCCATGGCAATGCTCCCCATGGTGATGGACACTCCCATAGCAACACTCTCCATGGTGATGGATGCTCTCCATGGCGACAGAGGCTCCCCATAGCAATGGCCACTGCCCATGGCAACAGATACTGCCCATAGCATTAGATGCTCCCCACAGCAACACTTCCCAAGGTGATGGATGCTCCCCATGGATGGGTGTCGCCCCTGGCAACAGATGCTCCCTATAGCTACGCTCCCCATGGTGATGGATGTTCTCCAGAGCAAGCTGGACCAGGCCTTCATACTTCTTTAAAGCTAGTCACTGGGGGCCGGGGATGGAAAGCACTGGGCTGGGGCCCCTGCTCCCCACTTGGCCACGTGCTCCCCCGGGTCGTTCCCTTCCCCCCCCCCCAGCTCTGTATCTTTCTTGCTTGTCTGGAGGCCTCAGGGGGAGCGGGCAGAAAGAGATGGGGGGGTGAGACAGGGCAGGGGAGGGTGGAAAATGAGCCTCAGTGAGACTTTTAGCCCTCCATTCCCCATGTTTGAGCCTCTGTGTGCGCGTCTGCCGGCACGTCTTTGTGTGTGCGGGTCTGTGTGTGCATGAGTGTGTCTGTGTGCGAGCGTATGGGGGACTCTGCTGCGTCTCCATGGTGGCAGCTCCTGGCCCGGGGGTAGCACCATCATGCCAGCTTGTAGCAACACCAAGTTGGGCACTGGGGGTGGGTGGGCCGAGCCCCTGGCGATGGGGCCGGGCGCAGCACCTCAGTCACAAGCCTTGCTTGGGTCTGGCACAACCCTGTATGCTTGAACTGCTGTGCACGCTTGTCCCGGAGTCCCCGGGCGATGCTCTGGAACTGCTCCCCACGAAGCCAGGCAGGACTCTGGGGAAGTCTCCTCTCCGGGAGCAGCCTGTCTGCAGGACACACAGCTCACCCGGCTTCCACCGTCCTGGGTCTGACCTCGGAGCATTCAGCCTCCTCTGCCCCTCCGTGCGCTTCCCACAGCGAGTCCGCCCAGGCGGGGTCCTGGGGGGGCCAGAGGGTCCTGCCCCCCAACTCCGCAGTCAGACGGGACTCTCAGCCAGCCAGGAAAACAGAAGGTTTATTAGACGACAGGAACATGGTCTAACACAGAGCTTGCAGGTGCAGAGAACAGGACCCCTCAGCCGGGTCCATGTTGGGGGGCAGTGAGCCAGACAACCCCGTCTGCCCTTCACTCCATGTCCCCAGCCAGCCCCAAACTGAAACTCCCTCCAGCCCCTCCTCCTCTGGGCTTTGTCCCTTTCCCGGGCCAGGAGGTCACCGGATCCTTTGTTCTCCAACCCTTTAGCTCTCACCTTGCAGGGGGGAAGGGCCCAGGCCATCGGTGGCCAGGAAACAGGGTGTCGGCCATTCTCTGTGTCCAGACCCCTGCACACACCTGCCCTCCAGGGCTCTGCAACGATCATACACCCTTACCCCACCCCCTAGATACTTAAGAACTGCATCGGGGAAACTGAGGCACCCCCACACGATTCAGAAGAAACATTAAGAACAGTCCCGCTTCGTCACAATGCTCCCCCCGCACTGCCCCCCACGCTGCCCCCGCACTGCCCCCCACGCTTCCCCCGCACGCTCCCCCCTGCACTGCCCCGCACTCCTCCCGCTGTATTGCCATGCACGCTCCCCCCCCACTGCCGCACATGCACCCCCTGTACTGTCACGCATGCTCCTCCCACACTGCCACCCATGCTCCCTCCTGCACTGCCAGGCACCCCTCCCCCCCCACGCCCTCCCCCCGCACTGGCATTTGCGGACCCCCTGCACTGCCAGGCACACTGCCATGGAGGCACCCCCTCGCACTGCCCCGCACGCTCCCCTCCCCCCGCACCGCCGCGCACGCTCCCCTCGACTGCCTCGCACGCTCCCCCCCCGGACTGCCTCGCACACTCCCCCCCCGGACTGCCTCGCACACTCCCCGCTCACAAGGCTGTGTGCACTCATCGCACTGCTGTGCACACACATATCCCGTGGCTGCACACTCATCACACGGTTGTGCTGACTTGCACGCACATCACACAGCTGTGCACACTCCCACACATCACTGGGCTGCACTCGCACGTATCACTCAGCTGTGCACACTTGCACACCTCACACAGTTGCACGCTCATCACATGGCTGTTCACACTCGCACACACTGGTTCACACCCGGCTCCGTTCACACTGCCTCACCCCTGCGCTGGCATGGCCTGGCGGCAGGATGCACCTGGTCAGCCTAGCAGGATGCAGCCGGCCCCATCTGCTTCCGGCCCCTTCTGCCTGCAGCCTGCTGGGCGGTGGGGGTGAGGGAGGGCGTATGGGGGGTGCAGCAAGTGGTCTCTGTCACAAACAGGATGCGCATGGCAGAGACCCCCTGCAGGTGGCAGCCTCCCCCACGCCTCCCTCACGTATGGGGGGCTCCTGGCTAAGGCCTTGAAAACACCCAGGCCAGGAAGTCTGGTGCCCAAAGGGTTAATGGGGAGCTTACCCCCACATTAATTAGCAAGGCCCATCATCATTCAGCCTAGCACCCCAGAGCAGAGGGCCAGGGAGGGGGCAGTTAGTTGTGGTCTGTGGCCAGACTGAATGTTGTGGGTTGTGTTGAGTGGTTGTGTACAGGGAGTATGTGTGTGTGCAGGGTGTGGGGGGTCTGTGTGTATTGGGTATCTGTTTTGTAGGGGGGGGTGTGTGTGCAGGGGGGGTGTACACCCCTAACAAACTGACATCCCCTGGTCCCAAGGGGTTACCTGTGAGCACCCCTGGGGGCAAGGCCCAGAGGCATGAAGAGTCTGATGCCACCTGCCTGGCTCGTCCTCTGTGGGGCGGGGCATGCGTGGGGCGGGGCGTTTCCATCATGCACAAGCCCCAAAATTCTTCATTCCGGGCCTGGGTGAGGCTGGTCTAGGCCAGGCTGAGCTGGTAGGGGCTGGGCCAGGACAGGCCAGTAGAGGCCCCAGCTCTGGGAGGGGAGTGGGGTCTACTGGTCAGAGCAGGGTGGGGGTCCGGGCTCCAGGGCTCTTGGGTTCTATCCCTGGTTCTGGGTGAGGCTGTGCCGTGCCAGTGAGGATCATGCCCTGCTGGCAGAGCTGTCCCTGGCGTGACACACCCCAGCAGCCCCCCGGGCGCCCCCATGCACCATACAGGTTCTCCCCACTCCTGTTCTTGTCCAGGGTCTGGGGTCCTAGGCCAAGCTGCCCCTCCCTAAGGGATCCCAGCCCCCATGGGGTGTGGCTGTCAGCAGGACCATCCCCCCTTGGTAAAAAGCTGGGAGACCCCCCCCCAAGGGAGAGATACCCCAAACCTGACACGCACATCCCCCAGTAGAGAGCCTAGCTCTGGGAGGGGAGTGAGGTCTAATGGTTAGAGCAGGGGGGCTGGGAGCCAGGACTCCTGGGTTTTACCCCCAGCTCCGGAAGGGCAGGGGGGTCTAGTGGGGGTGGAGGGTCTGGGAGCCAGGACTCCTGGATTTTATCCCCAGCTCCGGGAGGGCAGGGAGGTCTGGGGGTGGGTGGGTGGGTCTGGGAGCTAGGACTCCTGGGTTTTATCCCCGGCTCCGGGAGGGTGGGGGGTGTAGTGGGGGGGGGGTCTGGGAGCCAGGACTCCTGGGTTTTATCCCCGGCTCTGGGAGGGGAGTGGGGTTTAGTGGTCAGAGCAGGGGGGCTGGGAGCCAGGACTCCTGGGTTTTATCCCCAGCTCCGGGAGGGTGGGGGGTGTAGTGGGGGGGGGGTCTGGGAGCCAGGACTCCTGGGTTTTATCCCCGGCTCTGGGAGGGGAGTGGGGTTTAGTGGTCAGAGCAGGGGGGCTGGGAGCCAGGACTCCTGGGTTTTATCCCCGGCTCTGGGAGGGTGGGGGGGGGGGGGGGGGGGGGGGGGGGGCAGGACCGGGTTTTACCGGCTCTGGGAGGGAGTGGGGTTAGTGGTGAGGGGGTCTGGGAGCCAGGACTCCTGGGTTTTATCCCCCCCGGGAGGGCGGGGTCTGGGGGGCAGGGGGGTCTGGGAGGGCAGGGGGGTCTAGTGGGGGGGGTGGTCTGGGAGCCAGGACTCCTGGGTTTTATCCCCGGCTCTGGGAGGGGAGTGGGGTCTAGCGGCTAGGGCCAGGGACCGGGAGACGGGAATCCCGAGGCCAGCCCTGTGCTACGCTCAGCAGCAGCGCGGGCCTAGTTTTCCCACTGGGGGGCGCTGTTGCTCCTCCTGCGTCACGCAGCCTCCAGCGGGCCATCGTCTGGGTGGAAAGTCACCGCTGGGTCCAAACGGCTGCAGTTTCCCACGTGGCCACCGGGGGGAGCCCGCAGCACACGTGCTGGGGGCTGTGCGGGGCTGTGCGGCGCTGGGGGGGGGGGGCTTGCTGGCTTTGCAGCCTTGCACCCGGGGCTCCCAGGGGCTGGCCCTCCGCCAGCACAGACCTGAAACCGGCCTAGCTCCAGCGGCCCCACCCCACGAGTATCCGGGGGCTCAGCTGCGCCAGGGCCACGAGCCCGTCTCGTCTCCCGGTTACTGCTCCCCCCGCCCTGAGCCCTGCGTGTGACTCACGACGCTTCCCGGGGGACCCACCGCTGCCCGGGCACAAAGCTCCCGCACCCTCACAGGCTGCTGCCTCGTTTCCCCGGGCGTCCCGCCGTCGGCTCTTGTTCCGCTTTCCCGCACTGCTCCGATTTTTCCGCCTCCTCTTCCGAACGCCGGCGGGCTCTGCACGGAAGCGGGGGGCTCGCCCACCCAGCAGCCCATTCCGAGCCTTGGGCCAGGTCTGTGCTCCGGAGCTTCGACCGGCGTAGCGACGGCCTCACGGCTTCAATGGAAGAATTCGTCTGTCGCCCAAGCACTGTCTACACTGGGGAGGGAGGGGGTGAGGTCGGTTTCCCTCAGTCTCGGGGGGGTGTGGGAGGGGCTGCTGTACGTTTCCAGGGGAGACCAGCCAGCTAGGGCAGTGGCTGCCTTCTTGGCATGGCCCCATCGCTCAGGCGGGTGGGTTTTTCACACCACCCTCCCTGGCTGGGGGCAAACCCTCTCCCCCAGCCGGGTGGATCTGATTGGAACCAGGCATTGCAGGGGCCCGGCCTACGTGTGAAAGGCCTGGGTTTAGCTCCAGCCCAACTTCCCCCTCGGGTTTTCAGTATGAAGAGCCTCTCAAAAGCCACCAGCTTCTGACTGAAGCGAGACCAAGTGCTGAGACTGCTCCAGATTCCTTCCTAGCCTGCACCTCGGCCCCTTCCCGGGGCGCCTCCCAGCTGCAAGGTGAGCTTGGCCTTTCCCTTCTCCTGGGATGTGTTCAGGTCTGGATTCACCAGAGGTTAATTCATTCAGGGCAGAGGGCGGGTGTCTCTGAGGGAGGCTTTTAGATTAGTCAGCGCAACATACAACAACATCCTCTGGCTCCTGGAGAGGCGAGGTGCTGAATTCCCCCCAAAAGGCAGGCAGGGGAGCTGCCCGGGACCTCAGGTAAGGACACCCCTTTCGGTGACGGGACGCTGGCTGCTCTGGAGGAGCCCTGAAGTGGGTCAATCTCTCTCCACTTGGCTGCTTCCCAGTGCTGGGTTCAGCTCACATGGAGCAGCCTTGAGCTCTGCCTGGTTCTCTTTGAATCTGAGGCCCTGTGTGACCTGGGGGAGTGGTGGGGGAGGGGGATCTGCCCCAAAGGGACTCCCCCAGTGTGAGATGTGCTGTTAGGGCACCCCCCCACACACATTTATTGCTGGGCTGGGGGAGGGGTTGGGTCTAAAGATCTCCCCTATGGAGAGGGCCTGGGGGCTCTGTAACCCTGGCTGGTTTCACCCAGGCCCTGCCAACAAGAGGGGCCTGCGGGATGTGGGGAGATCTCTAGGGACCAAGATGTTTGTCTCTGAAACTCCACATCCAAATCCTCTCTGGGGAGAGTGAGAGGATCTAACCACTAGGTCCCATATCACCCCCTCCCAGAGCCAGGGATAGAACCCAGGAGTCCTGGCTCCCAGCCCCCCTCTCAGAGCCGGAGATAGAACCCAGGAGTCCTGGCTCCCAGCCCCCCTCTCAGAGCCAGGGAGAGAAAGAACCTGGATCTCACTGCCCTCCCCACTAGACCATGCTGTCTCTCTTATACCACAGTGGTGGGAGGGAGGCCAGATTAGCGAGGGGCCAGACTGGGTTTCGTGGCATTGGATTTAACCTCTTGGAGGCCACACTGTGTACTTCCCCCCCTCCTCCCCCCCCAGCACCGGCAGGCCTTTGACCTGCCGTGGCATGTGATCCAGCCCTTCCATTCCCCAGCCACATGTGTCTGACTCAGGAGCGGGGCCCTCTCTGGCCTGAGCAGGGTGGGGCCTGAGGCCAGCCTAGAAGGCCTGGGTGTGGGGAAAGCCCTGCCTTGGGGGGCTGGAAGTCTGAGGCGAGCAGGAGGGAGATGGGGTTTTGTGTTTACAGCAGGCGGGGATGGGAGCCAGGACTCCTGGGTTTTCTCCACTGCTCTGGGGAGGCAGTGGGGGGTCTTATGGTTTCAGCAGGGGGCTGGGAGCCAGGACTCCTGATTCTATCCCCAGCTCTGGGAGGGGAGTGGGGTGTAGTGGTTAGAGCAGGGGGTTGGGAAGCATCTTCCCTCTCCAGAATTATATTTAGTCAGAGGGAGGTCTCCCTGTGCTAACGCATCCTCCCTGAGCCACCTTGATTTCCTCCCTGCCAGCAGCCGGGTGGGCGGAATCATTGTTTGATCTCACAGGAGCCGGGTTATTCTGGGCTCACAGCTTCCTAGAAATAGCCTGGAGAGGCTGCTGAGAGTTGCAGACAGTGTCATAGCTTCACAGGGCAGCTCAAATGTGCCATGCAACACAACTGCCTGGGAACAGAACCCAGAAGTCCTGGCTCCCAGCCCCTCCCCTTGGCCCTCACTCTACCCTTTAGGCCCCGGTCCCGATGCCAGAGCTAGGGATAGAACTGAGTCCTGACTCCCACTCCTGTCCGCACTGACCTGTGTCTCTGTCACGCTGGCTGGGAAAGGCTCAGCACAGAGAATCCTGGTCATTTGGTAGTGCAAAGCCCCGTGAACATCAGCGTGCACAGCTATAGTAGATGTCAGCCCGTTCATTCAAAGAGTATTTAGTGCTGGCTCTGGAGTGTAGGAAGGGGGTTCTCTCCCCAGCTCTGGGGAGGGACGGGGTGTAGTGATTACAGCAGGGGGGTCAGGAGTCAGGACTCCTGGGTTCTCTCCCCAGCTCTGGGGAGGGGAGGGGTGTAGTGATTACAGCAGGAGGGACAGGAGTCAGGACTCCGGGTTCTCTCCCCAGCACTGGAGAGGGGCAGCATGTAGTGATTACAGTAGGGGGGACAGGAGTCAGGACTCCTGGGTTCTCTCCCCAACTCTGGGGAGGGGCGGGGTGTAGTGATTACAGCAGGGGGGACAGGAGTCAGGACTCCTGGGTTCTCTCCCCAACTCTGGGGAGGGGCAGGGTGTAGTGATTACAGCAGGGGGGACAGGAGCCAGGACTCCTGGGTTCTCTCCCCAACTCTGGGGAGGGGCAGGGTGTAGTGATTACAGCAGGGGGGACAGGAGTCAGGACTCCTGGGTTCTCTCCCCAACTCTGGGGAGGGGCAGGGTGTAGTGATTACAGCAGGGGGGACAGGAGTCAGGACTCCTGGGTTCTCTCCCCAACTCTGGGGAGGGGCAGGGTGTAGTGATTACAGCAGGGGGGACAGGAGTCAGGACTCCTGGGTTCTCTCCCCAACTCTGGGGAGGGGCAGGGTGTAGTGATTACAGCAGGGGGGACAGGAGTCAGGACTCCTGGGTTCTCTCCCCAACTCTGGGGAGGGGCAGGGTGTAGTGATTACAGCGGGGGGACAGGAGTCAGGACTCCTGGGTTCCATCCGTAACTTATACAGGAGCAGCAGGGAGATTCCACTCCTCCCCCCACCCCACTACTGACTGACCCTACCCGAGGTGCCCCAGCCTGGCCGCAGGACCCCTCCAGGGGCAGAGAGGCTCAGTTCCCACTGTCTGTTCAGCTCCCAGTCCCTCCCCGCCTGCCAAGTCCCACTTTCCGTCTCTGAATCTCGCCAGCGAATCTTGGATTAGCAGGCGCAGCCCGGGGGGCTGGAACGTTGACTCAGATCAAGGGGATTTCAGGGGCATTTACTCAGGTGACCCTGAGCAGCTAATGCTCTCTAATTATCCCAGCTTGTCCTCTGGGCTGTGACTCCTTGCAGCTGGGCTACTGTCAGGGGCCAGCGGGCCAGTGGCTTCTGGATCTTGGTGTCAGGGCAGCCGGGCGGGCGGCCCTAGGACGTTCCTTCATGGTGAAGGACATTGGGCGCCAGAGGGAGGACGGAGCCTCCGGCTGAGCCCCATGTCACCTGGGCAAGGCCCTGGGTCTTGTGTCCAGGGGGAAGCTCCTTGACCTTTGCCCTGTCTCGGACTGTGCCAGGCACGTGTTCCGGTGTCCCCATGACGCCCTCCTCCTCATGGGTGTAGTCTGGGCGGGGGTTAGGGGCGCTGTGCCTCCGAATTGCAAGTCTCAGGCAGGTGTGGAATTTGTCCCCCTGTGCGCGGCCCCACTGGCCTGACTGGAGCTGCCCCCCCCAAATACAGAACTCTGCCTATGCTCCTCACTCAGATGCCGTGCGCCAGGGGACTGACCTCTGGGGCCACTGCAGCCACACAGGAGCCCCCTGATCACTAGCCTGGGGGGGTTTGGCCATGTGGCCAGGTGCCGTGAGAGCCCCCTGGCCAGGTAGCTCTGCCAGGGCTCCTCAGTCCCAACCCACAGTCCCATGCTATTCCAGCCCTGGCTCCCCCCCAACCCCCGCCCTTAGCTCTGTGGTGCCCCTCAAGCCTGACCTACAGCCCCCTGCTAGCCCAGCCCTGGGCTCCACCTGCATCAGCTCTGCTGGGGCTCGCCAATCCTGGCCCACAGCCCCCCGGCTATTCCAGTCCTGGGCCTCAGGTTCACTTTAACTTCCAAGCAGTCCAGGGTTGCTGGGTGGGGTCAGGCGCCGCATGGTTAAGTGCCTGGCTTGTATTTGGCTTCCTAATCAGCTGGGGCGTGATTGAAGGGTGCACTGCAGTGTGACTAGACCTCCGGCTGGTTATGGGTCGGTCACATCACATGACTGCGGGGGTGGGGGGGGAAGGAGCCGTGGGTCATCGGGCAGCCGTTTCTCCATCACACTCTTAATAATCAACTTTGCTGCTTGGAGCTGCTTCTGACACGTGTGGGGAGGGAGAAAGCCACAAGTGCTCAGATCCCACCCACCCACCCACCCCCCCGCGCTCAAGTTCCCCTTTTCAGGGCCTGATAAAATGTCCCTGTTGGCACAGCGTCCGCAGTGGCGACCGGACAGCTCCCAGGTGGCACCACGAGGGCTCCCCGACGGCGGGCGGGGGCATCTCTGAGACCGAAGCAGGCAGGGTTTGATCCCTGACAGCGCCACGCTCCCCTCAGCGCCTGGCGGCGAAACTGACAAGCGTAAGTTACTCTCCTTTGCCAGCTTCATCAGCGTTGCAGCTGGTGGCCTCTTCCCAGCCCCCGCCGGGGTCTCTGCCTCTGTCTCCTTTGCATTTTCTGTCTCCTTCACCTGCTTCCTGCTTCACCCTCTTCCTGTTCAGCGATGGCGCTGCTTTGGCCTTGTTACAGTGCGTCGCCCCCTTCGAAGCTAAGCTCCAGCCCGCAGCTGTCCTGACGCCCCAGAGGTGTAGCAGCCCCGCTGCGCCGGCTAGCACTCTATTTCCGGGTTTTAGCCGCTGCCCATCACTGCGGTATCTGGGCTGCTTGCATGTCAAATCGATGGCAGTTGCCAAGTCCCTGGGAGGGGTGGGGGGTTAAATGGGGTTCCTGGCACTTTTCCCCTTTCGGGCTTTATTATATCTGTATTGGTTCGGAACCGCCCCAGGCTACTGGGCTGCTAGATTTGACGCAGGTGGGAATTTTTGGTACGCTCTGGTATGTTTGAGTGTGAACGGCTCAGAGATGGGCTGGGACTGCACCCTTCTGATCCAGTGCTGGACTGGGAGCAACCCCAGCAATCTGGGGGTGCTGGGAGGAGACAACCTAGCGGACAGAACACTAGTCTGCGAGGCAGGACACTTCCCTGCTCTGTGTCTGTTTCCGGGCCCCAATTTTAGCTATTTAGGTTGCTGGTTCTTCAGGCCAGGGCCAGTCTCTCTGCCAGGAGTCTGGGCATTAATCCTGCATTAATTCATTAATCCTGCTTCAAACCCGGACCTCCTCAGGTGAGCTGAGAGCACATGGAAGCTGCAGCTTTCTCATCCGAGAGATAGTTTGTCATAAAAATAAAGGGAAGGGTAACCACCTTTCTGTATACAGTGCTATAAAATCCCTCCTGGCCAGAGGCAAAACCCTTTCACCTGTAAAGGGTTAAGAAGGTAAGATAACCTCGCTGGCACCTGACCAAAATGACCAATGAGGAGACAAGATACTTTCAAAGCTGGAGGGGGGGAAACAAAGGGTCTGTCTGTCCCTGCGATGCTTTTGCCAGGAATAGATCAGGAATGCAGCCTTACAACTGTTAGTTAGGTTTCAGAGTAGCAGCCGTGTTAGTCTGTATTCGCAAAAAGAAAAGGAGTACTTGTGGCACCTTAGAGACTAATCAATTTATTTGAGCATAAGCTTTCGTTAGCTACAGCTCACTTCATCGGATGCATACTGTGGAAAGTATAAAAGATCTTTTTATACACACAAAGCATGAAAAAATGGGTGTTTACCACTACAAAAGGTTTTCTCTCCCCCCACCCCACTCTCCTGCTGATAATAGCTTATCTAAAGTGATCACTCAATGTGTATGATAATCAAGGTGGGCAATTTCCAGCACAAATCCAGGGTTTAACAAGAACGTCGGGGGGGGGGGGTAGAAAAAAACAAGGGGAAATAGGTTACCTTGCATAATGACTTAGCCACTCCCAGTCTCTATTCAAGCCTAAGTTAATTGTATCCAATTTGCAAATGAATTCCAATTCAACAGTCTCTCGTTGGAGTCTGGTTTTGAAGTTTTTTTGTTGTAATATCGCAACTTTCATGTCTGTAATCGCGTGACCAGAGAGATTGAAGTGTTCTCCGAGTTAGTAAGTAATCTAGCTAGAAATGCGTTAGATTTCCTTTTGCTTAATGGTTGGTAAAATAAGATGTGCTGAATGGAATGTATATTCCTGTTTTTGTGTCTTTTTGTAACTTAAGGTTTTGCCTAGAGGGATTCTCTATGATTTGAATCTGATTACCCTGAAAAGTATTTACCATCCTGATTTTAGAGGTGATTCTTTTACCTTTTCTTTAATTAAAATTCTTCTTTTAAGAACCTGATTGATTTTTCACTGTTCTTAAGATCCAAGGGTTTGGGTCTGTGTTCACCTGTACAAATTGGTGAGGATTCTTATCAAGCCTTCCCCAGGAAAGGGGGTGTAGGGCTTGAGGGGATATTTTGGGGGAAGACGTCTCCAAGTGGGCTCTTTCCCTGTTCTTTGTTTAACAAGCTTGGTGGTGGCAGCATACGGTTCAAGGACAAGGGAAAGTTTGTACCTTGGGGAAGTTTTTAATCTAAGCTGGTAAGAATAAGCTTAGGGGGTCTTTCATGCAGGTCCCCACATCTGTACCCTTGAGTTCAGAGTGGGGAAGGAACCTTGACATAATCCCTGCCCTAAAGAGCTTGCAGCCTAGAGGCTGGGTGGGAGGGGAAACTGAGGCACAGAGCTGGGAAGGGACTTGATCAAGGTCACACAGTGAGTCAGTGGCAAAGCTGGGAATAGAACCCAGGAGTCCTGGCTCGCACTTCCTGGCTGTAGACACAAGAGTGATGTTGAGAACCCAGGAGTCCTTGCTCTCTGATCCATCTTCTAATCACTGAAATACACTCCCATTCTGGAACTTGGAATAGAACCCAGGAGTTCTGGGTCCCAGCCCACCTCTTCCAACCCAGCAGACCCAACCCCCATCCCAGAGCTGGGATAGAACCCAGGAGTCCTGGCTCATCCCTTGCCCTAACCCCTGCCTCCCTTGCTGAGACTGGGTTCAATGCTTTGGCCCAGAGCAGAGCCCCTCCTGTTGCTTGTGGTTGCATCTCCCACCTTTCCCCACAGATGGCAGGTTACCTGTGTCTCTCCGCGCTCCTCCTGGTGGCTCTGCCGACCCCCTACGCCAGCCTGCTCTCCGCCGGCTCCTCCCTGCGCTTCATCGCCCTGGGGGACTGGGGCGGGGTGTCCAATCCCCCCTTTCACACGGTGCGTGAGGTGGCCACAGCCAAGGAGATGGGCCGTACGGTGGCAGCGTTGGGCGCGGACTTCATCTTGTCCCTCGGCGACAACTTCTACTACAACGGGGTGCGGGATGTCAACGACAAGAGGTTCCAGGTAGGGAGTCCTTGGGGGTCCCCCCACAGCACACAAGGACTGGGATCCAGCACTTGTTTATGCAGGGATCCCTCATCCTGAGCTGAGATGTGGCCGTCACTGGGGTGGGGTATGGCACCTATTTAACTGCACACAGCACTTGAGTTTAGGCCAGGGAGACTCCTATCTCCATTAGAAACTGAAGGATGAACCTTGGGTAGAGACAGCCCTCTACCCTCCCCACCCAAAAAATCTTGGGGTGTCACTACACCGCTACAGCCCCTTTACTGAAGGCGGCGCCCCCGTGTGGCCCTGGCAGGATGCACACGTCAACCAACAAGGAAACTGGCTAGCGTGAGCCCCCTGGCTGCAGTGGTGGGCGTGGGTGCGTTAGGGGTTATGGCACGTGAGGGGTAAATATCTTCATGGTTCCCCACCCCACCAGGGAACGACTGGGTTCCAAATAACAGCCATGAGTGAGACCTGTCTCCCCGTCCAGTGAGGACAGCGCGGGGGGCGGGGAAGGACTGGCAGGCACGGCTCCCCCCCGATGGTGAAATGTGAACACGTTCTCTGCCATCCCCTCTCTTGGGACAGGACACCTTTGAGGCTGTGTTCAAGGCGCAGTCGCTGCGCAAGGTGCCGTGGTATGTGGTGGCCGGGAACCACGACCACTCAGGGAACGTCTCGGCTCAGATCGCCTACAGCAAGGTCTCCAAGCGCTGGTAAGGGCCCCCCGCACCCGCTCAACCCTCCTGCATCCTGCTACATCGGGGCTCAGAGGGATGGGGGTTAGATCCCCTTCTACACCTGCAGCCCCCTACTATCCCAGCTCCGGGCTCCTCCCAGCTCGGCTGGTGCCCCTCAATCCTGACCTGCAGCCCCTTGCTAGCCCAGCTCTGGGCTCCCCTCCCACAGCTCTGCCGGTGCCCCTCAATCCTGACCTGCAGCCCCTGCTAGCCCATCTCTGGGCTCCCCTCCCCCAGCTCTGCTGGTGCCCCTCAGTCCCGACCTGCAGCTCCTGCTAGCCCATCTCTGGGCTCCCCTCAGTCCCAACCTGCAGCTCCTGCTAGCCCATCTCTGGGCTCCCCTCAGTCCCGACCTGCAGCTCCTGCTAGCCCATCTCTGGGCTCCCCTCCCCCAGCTCTGCTGGTGCCCCTCAGTCCCGACCTGCAGCCCCTGCTAGCCCATCTCTGGGCTCCCCTCAGTCCCGACCTGCAGCTCCTGCTAGCCCATCTCTGGGCTCCCCCAGCTTCTGGTCCCGACCTGCAGCTCCTCCTAGACCATCTCTGGGCTCCCCTCCCCCATCTCTGGTGCCCCTCAGTTCCGACCTGCAGCTCCTGCTAGCCCATCTCTGGGCTCCCCTCCCACAGCTCTGCCAGTGCCCCTCAGTCCCAACCTGCAGCCCCTGCTAGCCCAGCTCTGGGCTCCCCTCCCCCAGCTCTGCTGGTGCCCCTCAGTCCCAACCTGCAGCTCCTGCTAGCCCATCTCTGGGCTCCCTCAGTCCCCCCCAGCCCCTCTGCTGGTGCCCCTCAGTCCCGACCTGCAGCTCCTGCTAGCCCATCTCTGGGCTCCCCTCAGTCCCGACCTGCAGCCCCTGCTAGCCCATCTCTGGGCTCCCCTCCCCCAGCTCTGCTGGTGCCCCTCAGTCCTGACCTGCAGCCCCCATGCTGATCCAGGAGACTGCGGGGGGGGGCATGGAGATCAGCTCTAGTTTAACATTTGACACCCCTCCCCCTCCGTTCTGCAGGAACTTCCCCAACTACTACTACAGCCTGAAGTTCAAGGTCCCCAAGAGCAACGCCACGGTGGCTCTCCTCATGATCGACACTGTCACCCTGTGTGGGAACTCGGACGACTTCCAGTCCCAGCAGCCCCAGCAGCCCCAGGACGTGGGGCTGGCCCGCAGCCAGCTGGCCTGGCTCCGCAAGCAGATGGCTGCCTCCCAAGACGACTACCTGCTGGTGGCTGGCCACTACCCGGTGTGGTCGGTGGCCGAGCATGGGCCCACCCATTGCCTGGTGAAGCACCTGCAGCCACTGCTGCTCAAGTACAAGGCCACTGCCTACCTGTGCGGCCATGATCACAACCTGCAGGTAAGCGGGGGTGGGGGACACTGGAGCAAGGTTGTTCCCTCTGGTCTATTCCACAGGGCTCTGAGCACCCCTGCTAGGGAGATGTCCATCAACTCCCTGCTAGCCCGTCGCACTCCGCCCCAGCCACCCTGGGCAGCACTGGCCGAGACTCAGCCAAGGGTGTAAGTCAACAGCAAAGGTGGGACTAGAACCCAGGAGTCCTGACTCCCAGCCCCTCACCCCAACCCCTAGACCCCACTCCCCTCCCAGAGCTGGGACTAGAACCCAGGAGTCCTGACTCCCAGCCCCTCACCCAACCCGACCCCTAGACCCCACTCCCCTCCCAGAGCTGGGACTAGAACCCAAGAGTCTTGGCAAACAGCCCCCCCCCCCGGCTCTAATCCACGAGACCCCAAACAGTTCCGAAGTGAAGGAGCACAGTTAAGTTCCCTCCCCCATCCACCCCTCTCCAGAGATCAGCTCTGTCAGTTGATACTGTTCTGTGCCCGCCAGGCAGGGGCGCTAGCTTGCAACGTGCTGCCCTGCCCCAGAGCAGCCCCAGGGGGCACGACGTGCACGCCTCCTGCTCACCCCAGCATGGGGCGGGAGGGGGGGAGTACCCAAGCAGCAGGAGTATGGATCTGCTCTGACCCCCCCCACCCGCATCTTCCCCAATCAGTACCTGCAGGACAAGGCTGGCGTGGGCTACGTGCTGAGCGGGGCCGGCAACTTCATGGAGAACTCACGGAAGCATGATCACAAGGTCCCCGAGGGCTACCTGCGCTTCTTCTACGCCGAGCCGGCGTCCCTGGGCGGCTTCGCCTACGTGGAGATCGACAGCAAGGAGATGAGTGTCACCTATATCGAGGCCAGCGGCAAGTCCCTCTACAAGACCTCCCTCCCCCGGAGGAGCCGCCTCTGAGACCCCCTCCCCACGTCCCCATCTAGGAGGGTGCAGGAAGTAGGGGTTCAGAGCTCACTCCTCTTTCGTTTGGCTCTAAGGGAAACGCTGTGAGAGGCATTGAAGCTGTCTGATTTTTAAGGCTCCTGCATCCGATCTCTGGGGGAATCCTCCCCTGGAGAACCCCCCCCCCCCCCCGCCCTGTTTATTGCTTGATCCTCTCTTCCCTCCTCAATAGATCATTCCAGCCCCCTTTGACTCCCTCAAACCAATGGTGGCTTTGGGGCCCTCCCCATAGGTTTCTGTGTCCAGGACCCTTTGCAGATGGGCCAGGGGAATCAGAGTCTGTGCTCCCTTTCCCATCCACACCACCCACGTCCCTGGTGAGACGTCCCCGTTTCTTTGCCTGCTGCACACACGCCTCCCCGCCCTGCTGCTCGGAGGGCCCAGGTCGTGGGTTTCCACTGAGATATCACTGGGTTGGTTGGGGCCCGTCTCCTGCCATCTCCTCTCTCTATCCCACTTCTAGGGGCAGCACATGGCTGCTGTGGGAGAAGGGTGGGAATACGCAAACCTTTCCCCGGGCTGTGGCAGGCTGGAGATCCGGGTTTGACTCCTGGCTGTGCCAGAGTCCCCTGAGTGACCGTGTCTTCCTCTCTTTAGGCACCAGCTCCCCTCCTGTAAAACGGGGCTAATGGCCCTTTCACGCTCCCCTCTTTGCCTTCTGAGGCCGTAAATTCCTTGGGGATGGCCTCTGAACAACTCCTCTGCTGCTAATGCATAAATGACCTAACAACCAATGCTCTCAGGAGAGCTATTCCCTCATCCTGCCACCTGGAGGCGCTGTGACCTTCCTTCCTCTTCTCAGGTACAAAATCCTCATAGCCACATGCTAGGGGGCTGGGAAGCTGAGTTTTGTTTTTGCTGACCAGTAAACTGTATTGTGCCAGAGGAGGACGCAGTACTGCCCAAATCTGACCTCGGGCTCGTGTTTGTGTTTTCTGAGATGACTGTTTTTCGCCCTCACATACTGACCGGTCCTGTGTGCTTCCTCCCAGTCTAACTGTAAAAAGGGGCGGGCGTGCGGGCGTGTGAGCCCCATGTGCCTGTCAAAGACTTTTAAGTTCTGGAGAAACTTCTTCTTCACCCTCTGCAGCATTGCACCTGTGATCTGTTGCTCCCTGAAGCTGCTGCAAAGGGAACAGACTCTTCTAAGTGTCTTTCTTGTGACTATTTTCAATAAATTATATTTTAAAAAGTCCGATTGTTTCTCTCTCCACAGCCCGGCGTCCACACCTTGCAAACAATGACATGTTTTCCCATTGGGGAAACCGAGGGGGAGACTGAGCAGGACGGTTGCTCAGCCGATGCCCCTCATTCCCGAACTGCAGCCCCCTTGCTCCCCGACCTCTGGGCTCACACACACAGAGCTCTGCTGGTACCACACACAAACAGTCCTGCCCCACAGCCCCTGCTCCTGGGCTCCCCTGCCAACGCCCCTCAATCCTGACCTGTATTTCCCCCTGTTCTTCCAGCCCCACGTTTCCTCCATGCACACAGCTCCGGTGGTGCCCCTCAATCCCAACCCACATTCCCCTTCCCCTGCCCCTCCATCTTGGCCCTCAGCCATCCCTTCCTGTTCCAGCACTAGGCTCCCTGCACTTGAAGCTCTGCTGATGCCCCTCAGCCCCCCTGCTATTGCAGGCTCATTGACATACTGTCAGTATTCCCAAGACACCAAGCACTATAGTAGCTAGACCAGAGGTGGGCAAACTATGGCTCGTGGGCCACATCCGGCCCGTGGGACCGTCCTGACCGGCCCTTGAGCTCCTGGCCAGGGAGGCTAGCCCCCGGCCCCTCCCCTGCTGTCCCCCCTTCCCTGCTGCAATGCCGTGCGTGGGCAGCGGGGCTGGCTGGCTCGGGTGGTGAGCACCTGCTTCTTTGAGCTGCATGGTAAGGGGGTGGGGGGTGTTGGATAAGGGGCAGGGAGTCCTGGGGGGGCAGTCTGGGGACAGGGAGCAGGGGGCGGTTGGATGGGGCAGAGGTTTGGGGGGGGGCCGAGTGGTCAGGGGACAGGGAGTTTGATGGGGTTGGGGTCCTGGGGGGGCAGTTAGGGACAGGGGGCTGTGGGAGGGGGCAGTCAGGGGACAAGGAGCAGGGGGGGTTGGATGGGTCGGAGGTTCTGAGGGGGGCAGTCAGGGGGTGGGAAGTGGGAGAGGGTGGATGGGGGCGGGGGCCAGGCTGTTTGGGGAGGCATAGCCTTCCCTACCTGGCCCCCCATACAGTTTCACACCCCGACATGGCCCTTGGGCCAAAAAATTTGCCCACCCCTGAGCTAGGCACTGCTATCGGTACCTCTCCTAGCCAGGATCCAGGAATGATGATCCACATGACGGTTTTGTGATGCGCAGGCTGCTTTCCTGACCAGACCCCACTTCTTTGGCGCTTGCCAGGAAATCCCATATGAACCAATCTATACTGCATTTTCCCTGGCAAACATCCACCTACACTGAGGGCACCTGCCTAAAGAATCAACCCCTGGCAGAAGGTCAGGGAAAGAACATACAGAAACTCCCCATGGATCAGTCCAGTGGCTGGGAACCAAATCTGGGGGGGAAAGACTGCTGTCTACTCATCTTTAACACCCCACTTTTACCCCTCCGCTAGGGCATGCCCCATAGAACCCAGGTCTCCTGAGTCCAACCTGTGCTCTGTCCCCAGCGCTCAGCTATGAACAGAAATGTTTCTATACTTTAATTAAAGCAATGGAGGTTTTCTGGGGCACAAGGAGGGGATTTGAATGAAAGTTTCAACCTGACCCATTTAGCATGAGTGTCCCTGGATTTTTAACTGGAGTGGATGTTTTCGTAAGACAGGCTCTAATTTTAGCAGGAATTAACTCAGGGCTGTTCTCCAACCTGTGTTATACAGGAAGGGAGGCAGCTCTTTTCAGCTTAGTTTAAGACAGGGAACAGGTTCAGATGAAACCAAAATAAGCCACTTAAAAAAACAAAATCAGCACCCTCCCGGGGGTTTGCTCCAGTTTAACTAGACTGGTTTAAAAACTGATTTCGGTTCAATGTATTATTTGAATTACCGTACCATCTAGGAGCCTCAGTTATGGCCCAGGACCCCAGGTGGCTACAGGCTGCACAAATACTGAATACAAAGCTGGTCCCTGCCCCAAAGAGCTTCCAATCGAAGTACAAAACTGGTGAGAGCAGGTAGATAGAGCACAAGGAAGCAAGGAGCCAACACTGGTCAGCAGTTGCCTAACCATTGTCAAGGTTTCTGCGAGGGGCCGCATAGGAGAAAGCACAAAGGTGCTTGTTTGAAAAACTGGTGCAACTGTCTCCCATAAACAAGGCCTAGTAAACAAAAACACCTACGAGTCAAGAGCACTGCTCTAAGGGCATGAGGATTACAACTTTAGAAGCTGATAGCCCAATGACTAGTTTCAGGCCTGGTGTACACTTAAAACTTAAACTTAAAAATTACACAAAGTAAAACTATTTCCCCTTGTTTATTCCCCTCCCCACCCCCCACTGTTCCTCAGACGTTCTTGTCAACTGCTGGAAATGTCCCACCTTGATTATCACTACAAAAGGTTTTTTCCCCCCAGCTCTCCTGCTAGTAATAGCTCACCTTAAGTGATCACTCTCCTTACAGTGTGTATGGTAACACCCATTGTTTCATGTTCTCTGTGTACATAAATCTCCCCACTGTATTTTCCACTGAATGCATCCGATGAAGTGAGCTGTAGCTCACGAAAGCTTATGCTCAAATACATTTGTTAGTCTCTAAGGTGCCACAAATCCTCCTTTTCTTTTTACTTAAAACTTAGGTCATCAAAGCTGGGTGGTCAGGGGTGTGAAAAATCCACCCCACAGAGAGCTGTAGCTATGCTAACCCCACAAGTAGATAGAGCTAGGTTGGCAGAAGAGTGCTTCTATCGACCTAGCTACGTCTCCGGAGTTCCTATAGTGATGGAAAATCCCCTTCTGTTGCTACAGCCTGTATCTACACTACCGGGTTACAGCATCACAACTACTGACAGTGTAGCGCTCAGAAGTGTAGACATGGCCCTACTGCCCCAAAGAAAGCAAGACACAGAAACTTACACAGTATCAACGGTGAAACTGAAAATGCTTTCCTGGCCAGTAATCCCAATCAGGGCAGGATTGATTTTAAATAGGGGTTGTCTCTTTACCTGTCCAAAAAAAACCAAACCCCCCACCAAAACCCAAAATCCTGGCCAAATCCAACCAGCACAGACACTAATTCGCCTCTTCCTTCTGTGCTTAGGGGTCAGTCCCTGGCCTTGCCCCTCTGAGTTCGCTTATCTGGGGAGCAAAGCTTGTTGCTGACCGTTGACAGCCTCTAATCAGCAGCCTCTCCAGGGCAGAGTCGTTTGTGCTGCCCTTTATCTGGGGCCTATCAGTCTCTCTTGTCCTGAGGAGACACACCGTCCCCCCCAAATAACCCACAGGAGGGAGAGATCTCAAAGCGGGGGCGGGGCTGGGGTGCAGCTCCCCCTGAAGCGGAATGAGCCCCGTGGAGGGGCGATCTGTGCTGGGGGGTCCCACCCTGGGGGGCTCCCACCCTCGTTTCCGGCGCTGGGGGGGGCCACCCCGAATTGCTCTCAGGGCGGGGGGAGGGGGAGATCCCGCCCAATGCCCAGGCTGGGGCTTCCCCCGGCCCCACCAAAACCGAGCCTCGCCCCCAGGGAGGCTCCTCCTCCCTCGGGGCCTGCCCCGCCCTCCGGGCCCCCTGGTCTTGGGCTCCTCCCCCCCCCGGTCGCCATCTTGGAAACAGCCAGGGAGCCGGGTGGGCCACTTCCGGTTCAGGCCCTCTCCCCTCCCACTCTCTGACGTCATTTCCTCCTGCCGCTGCTGTCAATCATTCAGCATTCCACGCGCTCGGCCGGAGGCTAGCCAATGGCTGCCGGCGGGGCGAGCGTGTTTCTCTTCCGGTTCGGCGCAGGAAGTGACGGTCGCCGTTGGAAACGCGGCCGGGGCGGGAGGCTGGAGGCAGGTGGGGGCCTGAGAGCGACCCCCTCCCCCCGGGTCCGTGAGGAAGGAGAGGCTGGGGTCGGCTCTTGCCCCCCCAGTAGCCTGGTCGGAGCTCTCATGGGGGGGGGCCCGGGGCTCCTGTCCCTTCGGGGAGCCGAGCCCCCATCCCGGGGGGGGGCGCTGGGCTCCTGTCCCTGCGGGGAGCCGAGCCCCCATCCCGGGGGGGGGCGCTGGGCTCCTGTCCCTGCGGGGAGCCGAGCCCCCATCCCGGGGGGGGGGCGCTGGGCTCCTGTCCCTGCGGGGAGCCGAGCCCCCATCCCGGGGGGGGGGGCGCTGGGCTCCTGTCCCTGCGGGGAGCCGAGCCCCCATCCCGGGGGGGCGGGGTGCTGGGCTCCTGTCCCCTGTACCTGGGGGCAGAGGTGTGTTGAGCCCACGTGTCTATGGTGGAGAGCTGGGCTCTTGCTCCCCTGCCTCTGGATGGAAGGGGAGGCCATGGCTCAACCCGTGGGGGGTGCTAGATTTCTTTGCTCTACATGTTTGTGCGGGGGGAGGGTGGTTTATGAACCCCCCACTTCCTAGTCGATGCTGGGTGATGCCCCACCAGCTGAGATAATGGGCGGGGTTTAAATCCAGACCCAGGGAGCCTATCTGCCCCCATCTCCTTGTAGCCCCACATGCTCATTCGTGGGCACCCTAGAGCTGGGGGCAAGGTGTGGTGGATGAAGGAGAAAGGGCAGCACGTGATCTCCCCCGGCCCTGAGAGGACTGACACTTTCCCTCTCCTCTGCGCCTTGCAGGCAAAGATGGGCCGCAGGAAGTCAAAGCGGAAGCCCCCACCCAAGAAGAAGATGACGGGCACCCTGGAGACGCAGTTCACCTGCCCCTTCTGTAACCACGAGAAGTCCTGCGATGTCAAAATGTAAGTGGGTGGGCTGGAGAGGCCTCTCTGGTTCTAATGGTGGGGGCACAGCCAGCTGAGCTGCCTTGTTAGTGCTCATTAGGCCCCACTTATGGGGGACTGCTGCTCCTCGGGGTGCAGGGGATGAACTGATTCCCACCTGGAGCTGGATCAGGAAGTCCCCACACTGTGGGGTCAGGTGCATTACTGGGAGATGCCATTCATTCTCTGAAACATCTTGTATTGGCCACTGCTGGAGACAGGACACTAGGCTGTTGGCTTGGTTCAGAATGACAAAGGGAGGAAACTGGTCTAGATCAGCCCATTGGTTTGATCCAGTATGGCAGCAAGGGATGGTGGACAAAACAGGTAGATAGTAATACCTAGCTCTTATAGGGAGGCTAGAGCACTGGGCCAGGACTCCAGATAGGTTGGTTCTATTTCTGGCTGTGCCACTGGTCTGCTGGGTGACCCTGGGCATGTCACTTTACCTTCCCCTTCTATAAAATGGGGATAATAATACCAACCTCCTTTGTAAAGTGCTTTGAGATCTGTGGATGCAAAGCGCAAGATAAGAGCCAGAGGTGGTTGTTACTATTATTATTATTATGGCACTTTTCATCATTAGATTGATGAGCCTGTTTGTCAGAACTGGCATGGCAAGGAAGGGGAATGGTACCGGGTAAACTGGGCCAATTGGTCTCTTCCAATTGGAGATGGAAGCCACCCTAGAAGGGGTCCATTTGGTTTAATCTGGCACGGGTAGAGGGGGGTGTACAGGGCTCGACTGGCCCACTGGTTTGATTGGTGTGTTATAGCCTAAGCTGTATGAAAGCATTTCAGTAATTAAGCAACTTGTTTTTGAAATGATGTAAGTGAGCAACAGACATTAGCAACATAGTAAGGGTGTTTGGGTTTTTGCTATATCCCCATCAGCAAGTAATACTGAAGCATGGCTGTGCATAGCCTGGATCATGTCCATAAAAGTAATAGGAAAGTGCAACAAGATTTCCCTATTGGGATTTTTTTCCCTAATCTTCATATTTTCCTGTATTTTAGTGTATAACGAACCACACTGGGACTCGGGTCTGTACCACCTCAAATGCTTCCCATCACCATTCAGAGTGTGCAGATGGTCTGCACATTTTTATGTTTGTTTATCTTTTAACCTAATGCCTACATGTTTAGTTCTCTTAACTTCTCATAAATCCTGAGACGGTACATGGTCCATTGGTTAACGCAGAAGACTAGGAGTCAGGACTCCTGGGTTCTTTCTCCAGCTCTTGCAACCGAGTTGCTTTGTGATCATGTTGGGCAAGTTGCTTCCCTTCCATTTGCTCGTTTCCCTGACAGTAAAATGTGAATAACTTAGTAGCTCTTGTGTTGTGATGCTTAATTTGTTAATGCTGCGTTTTGTTTCAGTGGGTGCTATGGAAGAGAAGTGTATTCTTCTATTAAGTCAATTTCTCTAACCACTTGCTCTTGATTGTTTGCTCTTTGAACTTCCATTTGTCTTGTTCTTTGGAAATATTTGCTATTGTTGGAATATTGTTTTCTATGTTCCAGGGACCGGGCTCGGAACACTGGCGTAATATCATGTACTGTCTGTCTGGAAGAATTTCAGACTCCCATAACGTGTATCCTTTGCACTTCTAATGACGGAAGCAGGGTATTTTTACCGTAGTTGTTTTTTCCCATGAATTGATGGAGGGAAATGTATTTTCAGTGCCGTTCTACTTCAGCCACAGAGGTCTTGGAGTTCAGGTTTTGCTGAGCCCCCAGAACTTTGTCAGCGTGAAGTGTCCAAGTATCTGCAAAAAACTTGCTCTGGTTGTAGTCAGCAGCAGCAAACTCCTGAGATCCCTGGGGTTTGGTGCTTTCCATTGGGCTAGAGCACAGCTTCTTGTGGTATCTTGACACTTCCTGTTCCAGCCCATGATGGAAACTGGAAGCAAAGAGGCAGCAGCTAAAATAACTAGACAGTCATATAGCAGTGCTCATAGATTCCAAGGCCAGAAGGGACCATTGTGACCATCTAGTCTGACCTGGATAACGCAGGTCATAGGACTTCCCCAAAAGAATTTTGTTTGAACTAGAGCAGGTCTTTTAGGAAAATATCCAATCTTGATCCTGTCCGTGACGCAAGGAAAAAACTTCGGTGGTGCATGTAGCTGTTAGGAACTGAATCCAGAAGCACATGTTAGAAAATAGAATTAACTTCCCATCTTGCTTTCACGTGTTGGCCTTTATCATCCTGCAGCAGAATGAGACGATTGATTGGATAGCATGTTCTTAGTCTGTGTCCGCACTAGGGTCAGAATCATGGTTGGTATGACAGGGAGCTAAATGTTAGCAAGGCTGTCTGCTAACTTCTCCCTGTAGGTGCCTCGGTTTCCCCATCTCTAAGGTAGGCATAATGATACTTGCCTCCCTTCAGAAGGTGCTTTGCGATTGTTATGAAGACAGAACTACACAGGATCGTTTCAGGGGACAAGAGAAGAGGTCACGTTTATTATAATACAGTTTGATTTATGACCAATAACTAATATCTAATACCTATGCGCGCGCACACACTCTCTCTCTCTCTCTCCCCTCCCCCTCCCCCCCTCCTTGGGTTCGTAGCTTGTGGCGGCTAACTGGCCAGGAAAGCCAGGCACAAGGAAGAACTGGGTCTCTGTTGGGTATGCACCGATGCCCTTCAATGTTGGCAGCAGAATGTTACCCTCCAAAGTCTTCCCTCTCACCCATCGTTTTTGTAGGCTTTAGTTTGAATCCAGAGTCTATAGGTCTTGCTGTGTTACGCTGCCTCTGGTTCCGGTGTGATTGATCACCCGTCAATTGCAGACGTGACTTTCAGCCTCAGACCTGGCTTTGATGTTTCTTCAGTTGTACTTTTGTTCTGTTCTTTTTGGGTGGACTCTTCTTGCTTTGTCAGGGCTGTTGTCTGCATCTTCAGCCGTTGGTGTTTACACTTTATTTCATCAGGATGGGCTGGGGCTGGAGGTTGATTCCACCATCCATACATACCTCATTCCCACATCTAAACTCAACTAACAAGATTACAGCAGGGTTTTGCAAAAATGAAGGTTGTAGCAAGCTTTTACAAAATGGAGTAAGCAAGTTAAAATGGAGTTTGAATTACAATATGGACAGGTGTAAGGAATGGCAAACAGTGAGCAGAAGTTACAATGTTGAAACAGTGCAAGTTTCAGCGATTTAAGCAGCAATTGGATTGAAAGTGAAACTCAGTTAGCCAGTTATTGGGGTAACCAGTTTTACGAATGAATGTTGTTTCATTCATAAAACTTTGCTTATGAAGGTATATTAATAAAGTGAACAATTAAAAATAATTTAATTGATCAGTTCTACAAGATGTACTGATGAAAAGTGCAAGGAAGGGACAGAGTGGCGGTGGTGTTTGTCCCACAGTGCTGTCACAAAGGGCCAGCAGACAGGTGTTGCAGGGAAGAGTTGGAAAGGTGCAAAAACAATTTCCTTAAGTTCCCAGTGCAAGATGAATTCCAAGCTTCAGGGGAGGTGGTGGTGGTGTTTTGGTGTCATCTTCCTTGACCTTTGATCCTCTCAGATCTTTCAGAACCGGTGGACGTGTACAGTGATTGGATAGACGCTTGTGAGGCGGCCAATCAGTAGCAGCAAGGGGGCAGGAAGCTCATTTGTGCTAATTCTGGATATTACAGTATTTTGTACTTGGAAAAAAATGTACTGGTTCCATAACATGAGATGATCGGGAGCTTTGGAGAAGGTGGCTGGGTTTTTTATTAGCTTTTCCATCCAAGGATCTTTTTATAGCGGTTGTTCCTTTTTGTGAATTACCCTGGGGCCAATTTAGATCCTTGCGCATGTAACACGGTTAAGGGATGATTTGGAAATGCTGCCCTAGTTAAGCCGGGGAGGAGAGGAACATTTTGTTTTGCTCAGCCCGGCAGTTTGAAAGTTCACAAGATAAGAAACGACTTGTCACCATGATTAAATGGCAACAGTTAATTTAAAAAAAAAAAAAAAAAGTCCGTTACTAATCCTGGTCTGGCCAAGCCGTGTCCTTTTGCAATGCTGGCTGGATCCCTGTTGGAAGAGGCTATTTCTTGGCTTCCACCCTGCTTTGAATAACAGTTGAAATGTTGATGCAGAGGCAGTTTTGTTTAGTGGTTAGAGCAGGGCAACAGGTTGTCTGGAGCCCTGGGTTCTTTTCCTGTGACTTCCACCAGCTTCCAGTGTGATCCTGGGCAAGTCGCTTCCCCACTTAGCACCTCAGTTTCTCCCTCTAAATCAGAGTGAATAACATTCTGACCTTTGTAAAGTGCTTTGAGATCTTTGGCCACAAAGTGTGCTAGAAATGTAAGATGAACAATGAAATACTGTAGAACCTCCTTCCTTCAGTCCCAGTTCTGGATATTGGTTTTTGGCTAGCTCTGTTCAGCAGACTCATTGGCACAGAAAAGTCCCTATCCGACACATTTAACTTTGACTTACTTAAACGGGCACTGCTGTACTTGCTTTCCATAGTCCAGTGTGGGGTAAACTGGTTTGAATGAGCCATTAGTCAGAAAACAGGACAATCACTGACACAGACGACTGCTTTTCTCAGACGGGTCCCCCTGCAGCAGTAGGCTCAGATTTGCTCATTTGTCTCTTAATCAAAATACAGCAAAACTTCAGTACTGGAGAGTGGGAAGTGAATCGGGCTGCAGTGTTGGAGAAGTGGGGGAGATGCTGGGGTGAGGGGAAGGGAGACAGGCTTCTGTGGCATGGAAGCTATCAGATAATAGCTTTTGTTACTATGCTTTCTTGAGTCCAGTCATGATGGCAAGTGTGTTTTACCTTCTGAACATCCAGACGCTAGACTGAGCAAAATCTCTGCTACTTTGGCTTGCAGAGCCATTTGGTGGTCACTGCTCTGATTTATTTTTGGGATAACTTCACTCTCTCTTAGATTCAGAACGTTTGGCTCTGTTCTGGTGCGACAGTTACTCAGGGTCTCGCAAGAGGCAATCGCTCGGCCGTTGGCGCCGCTGAGGATTTAAGGTGGTGGCAGATCCCTGGCTGAACTGATTTTGGGCCTGTAGTGAATGGGCAGGGGATTGTTTGCAAAGGAGGGGTGTGAATCAGAGTGAGAGAAGGGAGGGAAGGATGGGCTAAATTAGCCACCTTGGCCTCCCTTGGCTTTTACCGGCTGCTTTTAACTTAAGGAAATTCTTATTGCATCAAGAGGTTTCCTTGGATCTTCCTGGATGGTACCAGCAGCACCTTGAGCTCCTTCCTGGACACTGATTACTAGCCCCTGCCTTGGGAAGCTACATGAGCTGGGGATTAAGCTGTTTTGAATTCCAGGCTGGGTTTGGACACTTTTCCCTGTGTGTGGATGCAAAGAAGGGTGTAGCAAGCAGCAGTCCTGGTTTTGTTTGAGGTTTGTTTTGCAAGGGGGGCTATTTAGAAACAGTTTGTAGTGGTAGAATGTCCCTTTAATAAATGCCATTACAGGGGGAAGTGGTTTTTATGTGTTCTTTATTGTCGTTGGTGTCACATTGATTCTGAGCTGAGTGACTGGACTTATTTCCCCAAGGCAGATGGGAGTTTGCGCGAGCCACATGCCTGTATGAGAGAGACAGCAGACAAGAAGTGGTAGTAGGAAATGCTGTGTTCTTTTCCCGTCTCTATGCAAATTCCCTCCTTGTTCTGTGCCTCGGTTTCCCCTTTTGTGAAATGGGGGTTAATATCTTAAATGTGCTGTGAGTATTTGAGGTTTCTGTCTTGCAAGGCTGAATGGAACTTCTAGGATTCAAAATCTGTTGATTTACTGCCCCTTACCCATCCCCTTGAGCTCTTAGACAACTGAACATTTATGGTATGTCAGCAAAAAAAACCCAAACAAACCCCCGGCAGTGAGTCTGAGACTGGGTCAACTGACTTGGGCAGATTGCGCTGTGGGGCTAAAAATAGCAATGTAGACGTTCCTGACTGGGCTCCGAGACCTGTCCCCCTTGCCAGGATTCAGAGCCCGGGCTCCAGACCGAGTCACAACATCTACACTGCTAATATTAGCCCTGTAGCGTGAGCTGCCTGAGTCAGCTGCTGTGGGCTCAGAGCCTTGCTGCCCCAGCAATTTTTTGCAGTGGAGCGTCATGTTCCCTCCATGATCTCCAACATAACAGGAGCCCGGACCCCCTGTGACTTCACTGCAAATGAGCCTGAGCCACTGGGCTGCAGTCTGTAGCTAATGCAGTTTCCTAGAGGTGAAGAGTGTTCTGTGGTCCTGGAGAGGCCAATGCAGACTTCCTTACTCAGCTAAATGAGCCAAAACTGTACACCGGGCTGCGTTCCAGCAAAGGACAAAAGGCTGCAGCGTCGGGAGAACGTGAGTAGTTGTGGTGGAAGAGAATCAGCTGACTAGGCGCTATTTGTTCTGGAAGACTGTGCTGGGTAAACAGCTCGTAAAAGCAGCTGTTACCTGACTAGTGGTGGGGAGAACTCTCCGGGCCCTTCTCACTTTACTCCATGTGCTTTAGAATGTGGGGGGAATTTGGCTCTCCCAGGGCAGGGGCTGGTAACACTGGCTGCGTGGGCTGGCTGAGCTGTTTTTGCTTATGAATCTCTGCCCATGCCCCTCAGTCCTGACCCACAGCCCCCTGCTATCCCGGCCCTGCCCATGCCCCTCAGTCCTGATGCACAGCCCCTGCCATCCTTGCCCTAGACTTCCTGCATACACAGCTTTGCTCATGCTTCTCCATTCTGGCCCTTTGCACCCCAGCTATTCCCATGCTAATGTCATCCCATCTCCAGTGCCCCAGGCCTGCCCATGTCCCTCAGTGAAAATTCTCGCTCCCTATTATTTCTAGGCTTGGGTCTCTCGTGAGCACACCTGCATGTCATCCTGAGCTAGTAGGTGGTTTGAAGGGCAGAGTAGCCAGAGACCCAGCAAACTTTCTTCACTTGTGGTTTTGCATGAGCCCATCACCTGCAGAGGCAAAAGGCCAGTCACTCAGACTCTCAGCAGGGGGCTGCTTGAGCCAGTGCAGCCTTGAGCTGCAAAGCCAGGTATGTGACGTGCTCCAGGGAGGGAGGCGGTTACTTAGTGCTTAAACCTTCTCCCTCTATCCTTAATGTTTCCTTCTCCGGCTCTGTAGTGTAGGCATAGAATCCGAGCCACAGAGGACTGGAAGGACTTCGATAGGCCATCCACTCCAGGCCCCTGCACCGAAGCGGGACATAGCCTATGCCCACATGGCCCCAGAGTCTAGACGCAGCCGACACCGGCAGAAGTAGTTCTGTGTGGGGAGGGACACCACCTCCCCAAATGCCGTCGACGGAAGCCGTCTTCTGTCAACATAGCTGCATTGACCCTGGAGATCTTGTTGGAATAGCTCTGGCAGCAGAAGGGTTGGGTTTTGTGTCCTCCCCCCCCCCCCCCCCCCGCGGTATAGCTTTACCGGTGTTGGTTTTAAGTGGAAAGCAGGCCTGTAGCATCAAGTCTTTGTGTGGTCTTCTAAAATCCCGGCGTGCAACCTGTTCCTTCCCATGCTCTGTTTTTCTTTTGCGGAGGAAGACGGGAAGTCAGCTGTGTCTCTCTTCTTCTACTCCCAGCCTTGCTGCAGTATTATCTCCATTGTGCTGGGCCACCCTGCTCCTCCAAGACACGCGTGCCATTTGACCTTTCCATTGAAGACCTTAACAGGAACCCCCTGAAACAGGGCCACGTGGCGTTGACGGGGTTTCTTGCTTGCATTTTACTATGGCTGCTACATGTCATGTCAAGAGCCTAATCACAAACTCTCCTGGACCTGGTATGGAGACTTGTAACCGAAAGAGTTATGGAGGGGCTGTCCCTGCATTGCCTACGTCTCGTAACGTAGCTCCAGACGTCGCTCTAGCCCTGCAAAGCGCTTGTCTAGAGTTCTGAGGGTTAATGTGGCTTTTAAGGGGGGATGTGGGGTGTCTAAGGAGCAACTGTCTGCCTGTGACTGCCAGATGAGGAGGAGCTGATTAAAGGTGAATGGTGCTATGCCTGTGTAAGTGGTTAGTTTGGCCTGCGTGTGCACACAGCACCTCCTGGTGGCCTATCTCACAGCAAGTCGAACAGCCGGCTGCTTCCCCAAAGCTAAAGTGTCAACAAGATTTTGTTGAAGGATCTGGATCTGAGCCCGTGTCTCTAGCAGCGTTTGTGGGCGGGTATCAAAGCCTTTCTGTATAGGTGCTAAATTACTGTCTAGAGCCCTGTGCACCGGCTGGTAATGGGGTTTACAAACAGGGCTAGGAGTGGGGGTGGTGGGTTGCAGCCAACCGGCCAGGGTTCAATTACCAGCGGGAACTCGGGCAAATCACTTCATCTTCGTGCTTCAGCTTCTCACCTGTTACAGGGGACAGTGATCCTTTCCTGCTGCAAAGAGCTAAAGGGGATACATCAATCCGTCTTGGAGGAAAGCCACGGCAGGGCTTGAGAGGCTTATCTCATCCTTATCATTGACGTATGCTGGAAAATGTTGAGCATTTATAGATGGCTTCTTATCTTCACAGCACTTAAACACTCCCTGATCATCTTTAGCCTGATCAGACATTGCCAACTTGCCTGTGTCAACCCAGGCATCCTGGGAGGAGGGAAATCTGCGTAGCTGTCAGTATTATCTACGCAGCTTCCTCTGTTAAAGGGACGCCATGGGCCTGAACCTCTGTCTGCAGTCATTGTACCCGGTCTACGCGCTTGTAAACCCAAGAGTGCTAGAAATCCGCATCAGGGAGGGGAGACAAAGGTTGTTTTTCTCTCTTTGTTTGGCCTGTGCTTCTGACAGTGCTTTCCGTATAGAAGAAGGATGGCCCCGTGGTTAGGGTGCCGACGAGAGATGTGGGGTAGGTCCTGCCCCACCACAACCTTCTGCTGGGGCTTTGGGCAAGTCAGGTAGTTTAGTAGGCCTCAGATCCTCCATCTCTAAAATGGGGGGATATTTGTGCTGAGGATTACCGTTAGGTGCTCCTAATAATATGGTAAGCTGGGCCAGACAGGTACCTAACACGGGTCCCTCCACACAAGAGAGGCACATGGGAAAAGTGGTTGCACCACAAACCGTAGCAGGGCAAAGGACTTGGATGTGACTGGCTTTGTGCAATTGACTAGATCTCCGTTTGACCTTCCCTTTTATATGCCCCATTTGGCTTCACCAGCGAAGACAAATGTCCAGGAAGCTCTTAAATAAGATTAGAAATAGGTTTAGAAGATAGATTTTTTTTTTCCTTGTTTTATTGTGCCACAGTGAGAGATTAAAAAGTGCTCATCAGCAGAAAATTACAAACTGCTGTAATATCGGTTCATAAGTCGCTTCATCTGGAGGTTTTTTTTTTAAGTGTTTAGTTTGCCAGCATGCAGAGTAGGGGAAATATTCCTAGGCTTTTAAAGGCAGCCCGTCTTGTAGGAAATGTAGTGGCTTATCTCAGTAGTTCACACTCTTATTTTTCCCATACATTAGCTTGTCACCAAAATACTCATAACAACGTGGGCAATAGCAGAGGTGGATGGGCTGGTAACCCTTCCAGGAGCTCAACAGTGTTCGTGTGCGGGGAGAGGGTTTCTCACTTAGGCTTGCAGCTGGAAAACCTGCTGACACAAAAACTTACTAGTCGAGGGTGCTGTCCTGGTGGTAGATGGAAAGTGTGTGTGTGGGGGGGTGTATATAGAGTGGGTCTCTTATATACACACACACGGAGAATCTTATTTACAGAAATGGCATCTGTCCCTTTTCAAAGCGCAGAAATGTTAGGAGAACCTTTGACAGAGAGCGGGGGAGGGGGGGGTTGTGTTTAAACTTGAACTTGCTCCCTCTCCTCCTGTACTGCTAGTCCCATCCCTCCCTCGTGTCTGCTCCGCTCAGGCCACTACTGCTAGGGGTGTTACACACCTGGGATGGCATGGGGGGCGGGGCGGGGGGATACCTGGGCCATCAAGCAGGAAGCACTCTACCTAGAGGCACTCAGCCATCAAGCCGTGAATGCAATCACAGTCCGGTTCATTTCACCAACCTGTTTGTTCCCCTTACTTTAGGAAAGGGGATGGGGGGGGGTGGCAGCATTTCTAGGGCACTTCAGTGCCCAGGTTGGGCGGGGAGGGGGGGAAGGGTGAGAGTGTTTCAGAGCTGAGACGCTGGTGCTAATGGTGAAAAAGCACGAATGTTTATGGCTTTTCACGTCCACATCTACCCTTCCCCGCCCCCCACCCCAACTACTCCTGATTTAACTTGGCTTGCTCTAGATCATACATTTTAAGAACAACTTAAATAAAGGGGGAATCTGACCGGGGCTGGATTTTGTTTCGAGGGTTGGGGGAGCTGGATTGGGGGACCCTCTGTGAGCTGGTTAGCGTTGGGGGGAGCAGTCAGGATTTCCTCTTATTCCTCTTTTTAAAGTAATCACTTGCTTTTTAAAAAAAAAAAAAAAAAAGTTTCTTCTCGCGCCCTGGTTGCATGTCTCTCTGTTCAGTCCAGGCCTCGGCCTCGCCCCGGCCCGGCCCCTCACTCGGAGTTGTAGAAGTTGTGTTGGCTGTGGTTGTACTCGTCCTCGCCGACCATGGGGTAGTTGGGCTGGAGGCAGTATTTGGGGTCGTAGACCTGGCGTGGCAGCCCGTACACAGTCATGCCCTGCTGTGAGGCGCCCTTGTTGCTTCCCATTTGCAGGGAGACGTTGAGGCTGTCGCAGTGTTCCATGCCCAGCATGGGCTCGAAGATCTGCCGCTTGGTCCCTGGGGCCGTCATGCCCGCCTGCAGGGAGAGGAGCGGGGTTAGTTGGACAGGAAGGGAGGCGCTGTGCAGGTGTGAAGGCTCAAGAATACCAGGAAGTGGCACCTGGAGGCTTTCCTCTCCAGACGCTAATTCCCCCCCACTGGGAATGGCAGCAGGCTGGGCTCGTGGGGGAGCCCCACGCTTCTAACTCCCCTTCCCCACTCCCACGCCTGCTCCTTGGCTTGCGTCTCTCTTACCTGGCTTGCTCCCTTGTTGGTGCCCATTTGTAGACTGATGGTGGCCTGATCCAGGGGCTGGTCTGTGCCCAGTTTGGGGTCATAGAGGTGCCGGCGGGTGCCATATGCCGTCATGCCCTGCTGGCTGGCAAACTTGTTGGTGCCCATCTGGAAGGAGAAGCAGAGTGAAACCGAGTGCGTGGATTAGTGCTGGCTGTGTGCGGGACCCCATCTCTGCACAGAGCGCGCCTCTGCTCTTGGCATGAGGCTTTGCCACAGGGGTTGGCACCATGACGCCCAGAGAGCTGTCGCCTGAGGGGAGTGGGAGTCCCCAGCCACTCCGGGAGGTGGAAGAAGGAATTGCCGGCTCCCACACTTGGCTGCAGATTGGGAGCGGCTATTGCCCCAGGTATCTCCTGCCCAGTTGTCGTGAAACTCTGCCTGGAGCTCACAAGGTTTCTGCTTTCTGCTCCGACTGGGAAATCTCTGGTGTCGCACAAAATGGGACTGTTGCACGTTAGAGAAGCCCCAGCTAAGGTGGCAGAAAAGGGCCCGATGGCTCAAGTGGGCACCTCCTGATATGGGCTGGGGTGGCTTTCCCGCTCCCCTGTCTGGCTGGGTCCTGCCCACATGTCAGCGGCTCGGCAGCTGCTCAAGGTGGCAGAGTAACACCAGAGGCTGTCTCAGCAGCATCAGTGGGACTACGAGCTGGCCCCCCTGGGGCTGGTTGGTTTGTTTCCTCTGGGCCCCGGGATGGTGCTAGGACCAGATCTCTGAGCTCCTGGGGCTGCCAAGGGGGCACGTGGCAGGGGGAGCCACAGACCTGCAGCCCGATAACGTTCCGTCCTTCTTTCAGCTTCTCGGGCTGGAAGCGACGCTGATGCTTCTCGGCGTATTTGACACCCATGTTCACTTTGTTGCCTTTTGTCTTGGCCTGTGTGGGGTTGGGGGGAAGAGCAAACAGGGCTCAGGTGGGGATGGCTGGAGGGGTAAATTTCCCTGCGCCTGTCCCCCACCGCAGAAACCCACGGCCCAGCCTGGAGTGGGGAGCCCAGCCGCCATCTTCCTCCACGCGCCGTCCTCCCGTGGTACCAGGCACGGATTAGATTCAGAGCCAAGGCTGGTGTTGTGACCCACCCACCATGGCTAAGAGGAGGAGCCCTTCCCCATGGGGTTGGGAGAGAGAGGACTTCAAGCATTAATCTGTGCATCTGGGGGGGCAGGGGGCTGCGTCAGTCCCACCCATCACTCCAGCCCAGCTAGTGCTGGCCGGCTCCGGCCCCTCATGCTGATTACAATCGGCAAACCAGGGGCCAATTCCTGAGTGGGTCTGGTGTGGAGTGTGGGGAGTGGCCGAGGCTGGTTCTGATCAGCAGCCATGTCTGCAACGCCCACAAAGCAGGGGGCTGGAAGGATGCCTGTCGCCTGCAGGGCCCGTACGCTGCGTCTCTGCCAAGGGACGACACCTCATCCCGAAGGTCTCTTCAGGTGTCTTTGACGTGCCAGGAACCCCCCGCTGGGGGCCTGGATGAGCCTCGCTGGCATGGCCACACTCACCTGGCTCGCCAGGGCAATCAGGGTGGACTGCACCTGGGTGTAGTTTGTGCTCTCAAAGAGGTCGTTGGCTTCGAAAATGTCATGTGGCTTCACGCCGTACGTGGTGATGGCCTTGATGAAGTTACCGATGTTTTCGAGCTGCAGCGGGACGGCAGGTGGTTATAGCGTGGCCAGGATGTCCCGGGTGCTCCACCCCGCCCAAGCCCAGCACCAGACAACCACCCCCATCCAACCGTTCTCGGGATTTCTGCAGTATTACAGCAGGACTGAAAAGCTCCAACCCAATGGAGCGTCCCAGCTGAGCCTCTGCTGACCCCTCCCTGCCCCACAGAGATGCCCAGCTCCCCAGGCAGGACTCCAAGTATTGTGCAGAGTACAGAGGAGCCCCTGCTGCCTTGTTGTCTGACACGACACTCTGTGCTTTCTCCTCCAAACACAGCGGCTTTTGCTTAACGCATCCATGTGCTGGTGAGGGCTCCCACCAATCGCTCCAGCCATTTCCTCCCTTCCCCTGCCCACAAAGATCTCCCCGTTGGGCATCTCCCAGCACCCTTAGGGAGCCTGGGACCCAAACACAGAGCTGGGGAAGAGTCTCCTGACTTCTGGACTAGCTCTAGCTTCACGGATACTGTCTAGCGTGACCCTGGTGGAGGTCCTAAGCCAGGCCCCATGGCCAGGGCATCGAGAGCCCAGAGGGAGCCTTCACCTGGTGCCAGTTCTGAGTGGACTCGTTCACCTTCCTCACGGAGCCAGGCTGGAGTTTGTTGATGAGTCTGAAAGGAGAAGGGTTTTGTTTGGTACGGCGATGGCTTCGCCCGTCGCTGGGAGGCAGCTGTCTCTGGGGTGGGACGCAGGAGCTGTTAACCAGGGCCTACCATGCCAATCTACGGGCAGAAGACAGGACTCCCACATCCCGCTGAAACTGGAGGTGGGGTGGTGGGCTGTAGAATGCCCCCGGGTTGAATGTGGCTGCGGTGGTAGGGCTGACGCCCCATATCAGGCAGGAAATACTCTGGGATCTGCAGGGACGGCACATTCGTGCTTCAGACCCTCCAGTAGCACAGCGCCCCCTAGTGCTGCAGCCCGCACTGCCGCCAACTTGGGAGCCCTTCCTGTGGCAGATGGGTTTCCCTGGGCTCTCTCTCGTCCAAGGACTTGGCCAGCCCATGCTGAGGGGGACACAGGGCTGGGAGACTAGATCTTGGGATAGGACTGGAATTGGGCCACACTCCCACCCCAAGTCTTACTGTTCCCAGGAGCCCACCCCCTCGTTGCTGGGGAGCCGCCCACCCCCAGCAGGGCAGGACGCCCCCTCACCCCCGATGGCTCCTCACTTGCACAGGATGACGCCATCCTTCAGCCCCTCCATGAAGTTGTCTCCAAGGCGCTCCCCCGTCATGTCCTCGATCCACAGCCGCAGCTCCTGCTCCCGCTGCGGGTCGTACTTCTGGGCCAGCTGTAATGGAACCAGAGGGCATTGGGCATGGCTGAGCTGCCATGTGCCAGGCTGCTGGGTGACGGTGGAACCATGTGAGCAGCACCCCGGGTAACACCAGTGCCGACCTTGCCTTGTTTGAGGCAATCCCCCATTGGCATCGGGCCCTGCCCTGGCATTCTGCTGGGCCCATTAGCAAGTGTCCCCCATTGCTGATCTCAGTCCTCTGCACAGTGCAGGCCAATATCCCCACCACCTGCCTGGGGTGGACCCTGAGAACACCCAGAGTCTGGTTTGGGTACAAATACTCCTATGTATCAGGGTAGATTTCAAGGCCAGAAGGGGCTGACCGGCCCTCCTGGGTAGTGCGGGCCGGAGAACTTTCCCCTGTGCTCCCAGCATCCCATGGGGGTGAGCTTGAGTCTCTCTGAGAAAGACCCGGCTCCAATTCGAAGGCTCTGAGTGCTGGAGAATCCAGCCTGGTCCCTCCAGGTAGCTGCACTGATGGTTAATCGCCACCCTCGGGCAAAATCTGCCCCTTCAGCTTCCAGCCCTTGGATCAGGTTCTGCCCTGGTCTGCCAGTGCCAAGAACCTTTTCTTCCCTGTGTGGGGACTGCTAGGGAATTCGGAACCTGCTTAGCCAGCCCCCATCAACTGGGCATCAGGACACCTCACAGTCTTTAATGTATTTATCCTCCCAACCTCCCAGGCGGCAGGGCAGTGCTGTTATTTCTGTTGTGCAGCTGGGGAAACGGAGGCACAGAGCAGCTAAGTGACTTGCCTATGGTCTCACGGAGCATCTAGCAGAACAGGCTCCAGGCTAGTGCTGTAACCACTGGACTGTCCTGCCGCTGTGCCCTTGGGCTCTCACAAACTTCTTCCAGTATTTATTTAAACCCACTGTTGCTGCTGGGAGCGGGGGCTTGTTTGCTAGAATGGGACCATCTCAGATCTGCTTAATAGGGATCAGTTTGTGGACCATTCACCCTTGTGTGAGCCCCCCACCTCCCATCCCATTGGCTCGTGAATGATATCTCCATGGCAACCCCAGCAACTGGTTTCCCGGGAAAGAAACCTTAGCATGTTGTTGAATTAGATGGGTGATGAAAATGATCAGGGGCCTGAGAAAAAAGATCTCCCACTTGAAGAGAGACTGTAACGATTGGAATTGTTTCTCTTAGAAAGGAGGCGAATAAGAGAAGACATGACAAAAATGTATAAGATAATGACTGGGCTAGAGAAGGGGGAGCGGGACGGAGTTTCTGATCTCTCTGTCTCACCGCACGAGAACAAGGGGACAGGCATATGAAGGTAGCCAATTAGAAACAAGTGAAATCCTTTTTCACTCCATGTGTAACATTAGACTGCGGAACTCCATGCCACAGGAGGGAAAGAACTTAGCAAGATTCAAAGAGGGACTGGCTGTTTCTGTGGATAACCAAACTAACCAGTTAGAATAGCTAATAGCTTTGGATGGGATATAAAACCTCAGGCTTAAGCCAATGTCTAACTCTTGGGGGCAGAATACCCCATATCTATCTACTGTGCAAGTCTTGCATCTTCCTTGGTGCTGAGACAGGCTCCTAGGCCACATGGACCCCGGTCTGGTCCAGTCTGGTGACCCATGTTGTTCTGGGGACAGTTACGTACTTTAGCGGCTTTTAATAGCATCTGGAAATGAGCAGTCGGCCCCAGCTAACTGGCCAGTTTGCTATTGAGTAGCCCCCAGTTTGGGAGCCCATCTCCTGGAATATGCACCCCCAGAAGAGGGGAAGCGCCAACAGAACAAAGTAATTTTCCCGTGGATGAATGCTCTTCTGCAGTGGAACTACCCAGCTGTATCCCCCGCCCAGACAGGGGAGGCAGGTCTACCCGGCGGCAGGGTAGTTTTGTGGTTACCGAACCGGCCCCAGACTCCCTGTGTGACCTGGGGCAAGTCACTGTGTCTCTCTGGGCTCAGTTCCCCAGCTGTGAAATGCGGAGGACGATCTTTGTCTCTGGGGCAGGGACTCTCGCTCTCTGGGTCTGTGCAGCACCTGGCACACGGTGCCCTGATCTCAGCTGGGACCTCTAGGGGCGACTGCCATACAAATACTAGCACCAGCTGGGCTCTGTTCTGCACCAGCCCTGCGGATTGCAGCGTCTGGAGGGGCAGAAAGTGCCCCAGGCTGAGTGGATGGGATAACCCCCGTACCGTTTTCTCTTGTAAAATGGAGCCGATCTGCCATGGCTTCTGCACTGGCCCTAAACCTGCCAGGGAAAAAAGATTTCCAGAGCCAAACCTCTTTATTTGGAAATGTGCTTCTGCACCAAGTCCCTGGGCTCCTTCTAAGGGCTGTCTGAACCCCCAAAGCAGCCATCAGTGTCCCCCTATGGCCTCAGAAATTCCTAGATCCTGTTCTCCTGGGAATCCCATGCTTGAATGACAGGAGACAGCTCTGACATGTTTATGATTCATCTCTGCCAAAGTCCCTGCCCTGGGGCAAGTCCCACGCTAGCTGTCAGGAAAGGAGCTAGAGGGATTAATTCGTTGAGGCTGGGGCTGCGGCTTGCAAAGGGAAACAGAGTTCCCGACCAGTGCTTTGGGGCCCCCTCCTCTCCCCCTCCCCGACTCAGCATGGCCTCATAACAGTGAAACTCCCCAGGAGTTCTGGAGCATCCTGAGTCTAGGGACTGCACTTCCCTGACTGCTGAAATGCGGCCACCTCTGGGGTGGAAAGCGGCAGCTGGTTCACCGCCGATGGAAAGAACTCTTCCTTCCTTGTGTTAGTCCATTGACTCTAGAGTGAGACCACGAATAGATTTGGCCCCATATCCAGAAAATAACAAGAGGCAGACAGTAATGCTCACTGCTGGCATTTTGCCCAGGACTCCAGGGTTCAAGGCCCCTGGGTCTGGCACTTTTTGCAGCATGAGTACAGGGAGGTGAGACTGCTGGTTTTATGGCTTTCGGGGGCTGCAGAGTCACCGTCCTGCCAGCTGTGTGGTCACTAGCGCTCCCCTGGCTGAGGTCTGCAGGGGACAGTGTGCAGAACCCCTGCCCTGCCTGCCTGCAATTAGGAAGCATTCACATGAGGGCTCACCGGTCCCTGGCTGAGCCCGGTCCGGAGCGAGTGCCCACCTCGTGTATGGTGAAACTGACAGACAGGAGCCAAATTAGTGCCAGTGATAAGTGTCTCTTTGGGGGGTGGCCTCCTGGGTTGCTGAGACCTGGGCAACTCATGTCACCAAATGGCGATCAGTCCCTCCTGCACCAGGCTCGGGTCGGAACCGGAGCCCTAGAGCTGAATGGGGGGACAGTGGCTGGAGGGCCTGGAGCTGCTTTTCCAGCAGCCTTTGAGAAGGGCTGTTAGAAGAGGTCCAGTTGGAGGCCTAGTAAATCAAAACCTGAACCAGTCAGGACTCCTGGGTTCCAACCCCAGCTCTGGGTGGGGCTGGGGTCTGATAGAGCAGGGGGTGGGCCTGGAGTCAGGAGTCCTGGGTTCTATCCCCATCTCTGGGAGGGGAGTGGAGTCTAGTGGTTAGAGCAAGAGGGGCTGGGAGCCGGACGCCCGGGTTCTATCCCCATCTCTGGGAGAGGAGTGGGGTCTAGTGGTTGCGTTGGGTGGGGTGGGGAGGGGAGGGGATTAGGAGTCAAGACACCTGATGAATCATTTCACTTCTCGTGTGTTTTGTTTCCCTTCCCTCACTCAGATTTTCTGTACCACCTTGGCCCATGGCCCCCCAGGGCTGCTGCTGCTTCTCCATCATGTCTCTATCGTGCCCAATGCCAGCACCACCTTGGGGGATGGACGCAAGCCTCAGCCTGCGTCTTGCCTCTTAGGCAGTGCTGCACATGGTGGCCCAAATCCCCTCCTGAACCCTGCCCATTAGCCCTGAACACTGGGATTGTGATTTCCCCCATCGCCTGCCTGCACATCGGATCGGGCCCAGCCTCGTCCATCCCCTTTGTTGAGGTCCACCTGCGGGAGCTAACAGGGCAGGGAAGTTGTTCCTTGTATTTGGTTGAAAAATACCTGCTCCAGTTAACCGGCAGCATAAAAAGCCTGATCACTCCCCCCTCGGCATCAGAGGTTTTAGCCCCACCTCCATGGACACTCTTTTCCAGGTTGAACCCTCCCTGTTTAAAGTCGGCCCAATGGAGCATAGCCTCTCCCTGGGGAAGGAGGGCGCATGTGTCTCTAATGTGCTTTGAGATGCAAAGCTGTATTAGAGTAGGACCACCCTTATTCCACTGGGGTACAGGAGCCATAAGGCAGGGCACTGCCCAAAGGTCCCAGCCAGGCAGCCTGTCCGTTTTGATTTCCTGGGTATCTCAGTCCTTCTGCGTCCTGCCAGCTCTCACAGCAGACAGCTTCCAAACTCCCCGCCTTTCCCTGCGCAGACCTGGGTCCTGTTCATACTGACCTGACCCTGGCCAGCAGAGAAGCATGTTGCCTACTGTGTGGATGGGGAAACTGAGGCACAAAGGGAGGCGGTTGCCCGAGAGGGGGTGGGAATGCTGGGATAATCCCCCTCTGTGTGGTGTGGAGCCAGTGGGTGTACAACTGGGGCAGTGGCAGCCGTTCCTGGCTCCTGGGCCCTGCCCACCGCGGTGTGAGCCCAGCAGAAGGTTCCAGCCTTGAGGCTGACCAGGCCCTTGCGTCTAATGGACAAGCCAGCCTGGGCAGGGGCTGCTGGGAAATAGCATGTCCCAGGCGTCGGCACCTGCCAGAGCCCAGGCTGGCCCGTACAGGGTGCTGTGACAGTATTCCTCCCCCTGCCCCAGTGAGCGCTCACATTCCTAGGGCCCGGCCTGTCTCCTCGCTCCAGCCCGCCCGTGCCAGGGCCGTCTGCCAACCCAAACAGGCAGCAGCCCCTGCAGGAAGAATTCACCAAACTTGGGAGAAAAATGGGGCCCTGCCTGTCCCAGATCCTCATGGATTTATCCCTGGCCGAGGTGCTGGGGCGGGGGGGAGGGGGGGATATTTCAGAGTGTGAGAGAAGGCAGATCCCTGGCTGTGGCCCATGGAGCTAGCTG